CCCCCCGCCCTCCCCCGGATCCCATGCGCGGGAGGGCGGCGGACACGGTCCCCTGCCTGAGCGGGGGCGGCTCGCCCGGGGCCCGAGGCGTGCGCGGCCCGGAGGCCATGCGGCCTGGGTCCGTAGTGCGCAGCTCGGCATGTCGCGGCCCCGGCCGGCGTTAAGCTGCGCCGGTGGCTGGGCTCTCCCGGAGTCTCCGGTTTGCGGACACCATCCGGAGCTCTGACGCTGCCAGGATCATAACGGTGCTGCGGCAGCCCCAGAGCCCGCTTATCGGCCGTGCAGCAATAGCGCCCTGCAGCCGACGCCTGTGCCTACATAAGAGTCGCACCCGCTGCCTCTAATCGCGGTCAGCTCCCTACAGTTTAACAGCCATTTTCCCGGTGTGGGCTCGGCCACTGTTTCAGACACGATACTAGGGTCTTAGGTGAATCCTCGTGTCTGGTGTAGCAGTTCCTGCGTTTTAACGAGGTCCTGAAGCGGAGTGCAGAAAGCGGTGAGAGAGGCTGGTGGAGAGAGACCGAGCAAAGGCTGTTCCCCTGAAGTTCCTGCAACTTCTGCTGTCCGAGAACCTTGGGGCATCTGGAAGGCGGGCACCTGAGAGACAGTCATTTCAGTTAGACTCCAGTTGAACATCTAAGTTTCAGTTTCCATAATGTAGTTACAGCATGGGAAAATAGTGAAATCAGTGCAATGCTTTTGGAGGGTGTGGAAATGGCTTCTGTTACGTTGTAAGTATATACAGGAAATTATAATCGAATTTGCTGATTTTTGACAATGTTTGGGACCTACCGTCTTGGAACAAAAAACAACCATTGCTTAGTGGAGGAATAGCTTCAATTTTTAAAAAAGCATTAAGAAAATGTGTGTGTTGAAATTCAGCATCACATTTTCAGTTAACAGTGATTGTAACCACCCTTGTGTTTAGAATATTCTGAGTTATGCAGTAAAAATATCAAAGGTTAACACTGATTTAGTCTTTATTTAATTTTGTGAGATTACTTTTTCAAAGTTTCATTTTAAGTATGTTAGTGGTAAAATTCTACATAAAACAATGATGCTTAGCAGTTTTGTAAGGCAGGACACTTTCCGCCCAGTTTACTAATGGGGATACAGAAGTATAGAAAAGTTTTGATGTAGCCTACCTCATTGTATAGCCGTGGGTATATCTACATAGTAAGTTAACCCCAATAACAGTGAAGATGTGGCAGCATAGGCTAGCAATTAAAATAGTACCTTCTGGCTTTGTATTTGAGCAGTTAACCAGCATTGAAGTTTGTGCTGACACTTCCTCACTATTATTACTGTCTGTGCTACTAAACTAAAATGGGTGTGGATATGCCTGTCTGTGCTAGTCATACCATCCTTCACTATGTAAACATAGCCTTAATCACATAGCCAATATTAGGACTGCATATGCTGAAGCCACTAACATCGGCATCTTAAAATATGAGAGTCCTGTTGATATATTGTGGATATGTAAATTAGAAATTTTCCCTCATAACTAAGGATGTAAGCGACTAGTCGTCTGGCTGAAAAGCATAAGTATATCAGATAGTCACTTCCTCCCTCTCCCCTTTCCCCGCCTCTATCAGAGGCAGCAGTGGGAGGGATGGGACAGGAGCCAGTGCAGGGGGGGGCTAACTTAAAAGCTGGTCGGTCCGTCCCCAGCACCATCTCCGGGGTGCTGCATGGCCCCCCTGCCTCCATTAGAGGCCACAGGAGAGGGATAGGGAGGCTGCTATGAAACAGTCCCTGTCCGTTGTGGCCAGGTCTGTTCTGGTAGCAGCCCCTGGCTGTGGCCAGCCCTGGCCACCATGAACAGGGGCTGGCTGGCAGGGGTACTCAAATTGGGATTGCATGGTTATTATATGGGCCAACTGCTCATAACTTCCTTCACTCCAACCCTGCTTACTCTTCAGCATTTTTAACAGTGTTAAATATTTTCTTAAAAGCGTTTTTAATTTATAAGGGGGATCACACTTGGAGGCTTGTTGTTTGAGAACCACTGAGATAAGAAATGGAATTGTACTAGGGACTGGAAAGAGATGTATTCACCAAAATATGTAAATTGTTTTATTGTTGTAACTATTTGTTTGACTAACTGAAGTGTGTTGTGCAACTAAGAAAAAAGAGATGCCAATAGTAATCAAGTAAGGTACAAAATATTTTAAAAATGGGAAGGATATAGGTTAAATTGTTTAGCTACGAATTCTGTAAATTTTAAGCTTTTCCCAGAATTTTTTTTAACTCTTATGTTATTTAACTGAAGGGAAATGTAAAATGTGATTTGTGTCAGTTGCAGAAACATACCAGAAAGGTAGAAGATAAAAAATCTTTCTGTTGCTTAAAAATATACCAGAAAGGTAGAAGATAAAAGATCTTTCTGTTGCTTAACCAACATGCATGCAGTACCAAAATACAGATAGTATAGATATCTCTGTTTTGCTGACTTATCTTGTGTTGAACGAACACACACACACACACACACACACACACACACACACACACACACACACACACACACACACACACACGTTGAGCTTGTACTTTGTACTTTGGGGCAGGCTGAAAGATGTAAGTGCTGTGAAACTGTTCTCCCTATAAAGTAATATCCTTTCTGCATTCTGCTGATCTATTTATCTATTTTTGATTTGAACCTGGGTTAGCTAAAGACTTATCAATAAAATAATTGAACCCTAATAACACTTTGCCAAGAGTATCCACTGGGGCTGTGCACATATCTTACAAAAAGGTTCTAGGCTCGTGCATGTGAGATGGATATACATGTAGATGGATCTTTTTGGACACATAAGAACTGTACTTCTCCTGACTCTTAAGTGCTGTATTATTTTATCTTTATTATGGACTTTGGTGATAGCTGACGGTTTCCTCTATGGGTCAGTTAACTTTTTTTTTCATTGCTACTAGCTGCATAAATGGTCTTTGCAAGATCAAGATAAGATGTTATACTGTCCTAACAAGGAGCTATCTTGCATTTGCAGGGTGAAAGCTTACCCACCTGGAAAGTACAAGTGGAAGGCTTTTCTGACATTTGTGGTCCTAATGCTCTTGTTGTGCGTCCACATTTAATGTTGGTTCTATAATGTTGACGAATACAGCAGATGTTCTATGTAATACTCTTTTGAGGGTTTTGTAATAGTCTATCACAATGACCCTTTCATGCAACTCAGAAAGTAGTAATGCCAATCACCAAGGTCTTGCTATTATTTCTAACCCAGGGAAGAGAGAGCTGCTCACCACACCTAAATGGAGCTACTGAATCATATATAAAACTGCTGTTGTCAGGGAGCTGCAACTGAGTCACTAGAAATCTTCGGGAGCACTATGATCCAAGTTTTACTGCAAGCAAACCTGACAAACTAGGAAGAACCTTGATGTAAATTAAATGCTGGTACAAGAGGTCTTGGCTTTTCTAGAGACAGTTGGAAATATCTAGGGAAATTAGGAGCAAGAGCTGGTGAAAAGGACTAAGAGGAAGAAGGATTTGAGCTGCACAATTGGGGCAAGGGTTAATCAGTACATCAGAATAATCTATTTTAGGGATATCCACTAAGGATGTTAAGAGGCGGGTAAGCTACTAATCATGTAGTCTATAAAAATTTGTATAGACTATACCAGTGGTCCCCAACTTTTGGGGCTGCTGGGTGCCCGGGGATGGCCCAGATCATTCCACGGGTGCACATAAATGCCCCGGCAGGCGCCATGGTGCACGTAGGCACCACATTGGGGACCACTGGACTACACGATTAGTCAGGAAAGGCTTTCTCAGTTCCTGTTCGTGCCAGGTCCAGGAGATACCCCATCTGCAGCTTAAATGTAGTAAGAGCTGGGCACACAGGCAGCCTGGCTCCTACCACATTTAAAATGTAGAGGTACAGTGGGTCTAGCTCCCAGACCCAGCATGAGCCAAGACTGAGCCGGGCTTGCTCAGTCCCAGCTGGTGCTGGATCAGGCATCCTCTGCAACCAGCCCAGGGCTGCCGCAGGCAGATAGAGGCTACTTAGGCTGGCCATGAACAGGGACTGCTGATAGAGCAGCCTCTGCCCATGGAAACCTCTCCTGATAGAGGCAGGAGTATAGAAGGGGTGCAGGTAACACCATGGAGGTAGTGCTGGGGAGAGCCAACTTGTAAGCCTGCTCCCCGCATCTGATCCCCTCCCCTTGTGCTCTGCATTTAAAACTTGGATTGGCAGGCTGGCCTGTCCAGGTTTTAAATGAAGAGCATGTAGGATAGGTGAGCTGCCTGCCACTCCGCACTACTGCCTCTGATACAGAGGTAGCAACATGGGGTGGCAGGCAGGAGCTGGTTTAAAAACCAGAGCCATGGGATGCTGGAGCTGGTCTGTGCGGGGAGCTGTGGGATGCTGAACCAGCCTCTGTCTATGGAGAACTTGCTCTGCCCCCTGCAGACAGTTGCTGCTGCTGCTGCGGCTGCTGCTGCCAGGCCCTGCTGCCTCTATCAGAGGCAGAAGTGCAAGGTCACAGGGGATCCTGGGGAGTAAGGTTGGGAGTGCACCAGCTACCGCCCATTCCCGGGGGGGGATGGGAGAGACTATCCAGTAATCATGTAATCACTAAGAATTTTAGCGGTTACACAATTATTGAAATACCCAATTTCTAATATTCCTATTTATTTAGGAAGATTAAACTTCACGGTGTAACTTCCAAATTCTTACAGGATGTTTTTGTTCAATAAATACATTGAAAGAAGATTCTGTAATCTTTCCCGTAGCTTCTACTCACTATTTATCTAATATAATCTGACACAGGATTAGGTAGTTGAACCAAAGAGTGAATATAAACAAA